CAGCTACAAGTCTACTCTAAATATTTAGTTTAGAAGGAAATCAAGGGAATGCTAAAGAATTTCCCACCTCCTCTGGAAACTTTTCTTTTCCACAGGCTTATCCCCAGTACGTAAGAATGTACTGTAGAAGCACGTGTAATATGCGCTTAATATAAATCCTTTTTAGAGCCCTTTACCTCACTTTCAGCTATACATATTTTTTTAAGTTTAAAATTGCAGAAAGGCTGGAGGAAGGAACATATTTCTTAAAGAAGGTTGAGAAGTACTTCATAAATGTGTCCAAAAACAAGAAAGAGTCACTTAAAAAATTTCAGCTGACACTATGAAGAACATCTTCTCAACAACAACAGAAAACCTGACAGATAACTACAATGAGTCCAGCCTTCTCCATTTCGGAACTGATGTTTCACTCCAACTTTCTACTATTTGTAGAAAAACAGTATAAAGATCCTAAGCCTAAGACAGTATTTCCAATGAGACCACTAACACCCCCACAGATTTTGAAGAAGACATTAATTACAGACAGAATACAATGCAGCCCAAAATAGCCACTGGAATCCTGGACCACCTGGGCAAGACCTGGGGAGGTGTCACCCTTTGCCCTATTTCTCTTAGCCGGTCATTAAGATGAAGAGTTTACTCCTATAGCCTGTACATCTTTGGTTTTGTGTGTTCTTGCAGAAGGTACCATCAAAACAACCTGTCCTTGGCATTTAGCTTCACTCTACAGCACTACTGCTACAGGAATATTGCTCCTGACAGAGAATCTAAGCATACAGCCGAATATTATACATCATTACCCTAAGTAGGCCATAAATAATGACACTAACGTCACTGTAAAAACAGGAGATTCTTGGCAAATGGTAGCAAAAGAATTGTAGATAAGCTGTTAATGAGGAATCAAAAACTCAAAGCTTGCATGCTTCAATCTAAAAAATATTATGTAGGTTTCTTGAAAAAAATGGTTAAAGATAACGTGTAGACTTTTATGCAAATTGGTTTGGACTGCAAATAAATACTAAGAAGTTGTATCACTGACCTCCATGAGGATATCACATACAAATCAGGTTATTCACAGAATAAGTGGGACTGTAACTAGCCCTCTATAATTCCTTTGACTCTACCCGTTATTATCTTCATTAGACCCCACAATTTGTCATCAGATTTTCCACGTAGTGTTTCCTTATTTACTGTCCCTCCGTCTTCTCCCACTAGAATGCAAGGCCCATAAGAACAAAAACTTTTCTTATCTTCCACTGTATGCCCAATTCCTAGGACAATGTCTAGCGCACAGCAGAGGCTACAAATAAATGTGCTGAATAAAGAGATGGATGAATGACCTCCCCCACTTCCTTTCCTCCATATACATGTTAACCATCCTTTAAGGCCAAGGGCAAATTCCATTATCTCAATGAAGATTACCTTCCCATTACCTCCCCCAATGCTCCAATCTCTTTCTCCCTTACACCATGAATTTGGCACTTCCTAGCTGTCTGATAACTGTGTATCATTTCGTATGTACACAGTTCCCTTAAAAATTCTTATAATCCTCCTCCCCTTATTAAGGGCATGGATTCATGTCTCCAGCTTTTGGTATACCTCAGAATATGTAAACAGTGTATCATTCATTAATAAATGCTTTGCTTGATTTAGATCTGTAATCTAGGCATCAATTTAGTCAATAGTTTCAACTTTTAATAACCTATCCTTCCCTTTCTAATAACTCACTTGAAATGGCAGTGGGTCTTCATTTTAAATTTGTATTTGGCAATTTCAAGTTCTACATTCTCATTTAATTGTAACTGATGCTCATAATTTACTTTACCCATCCTTTCCGCCAAGATTAAGTTTTTTATGTAATGAAACTCTTGACTTTCTGGTGATACCTATGAGGTACCTCATCCCAGTCAAGTAGGAGGCGAAGTTTCATTACCTCCTTCTTGCTGCTTTGGTACTCAAGAGCATTTTTTTCCTTTATGCCTTTTTTCCCTCATGCCAAGATGTATCTCATTTCCTTCTTTGCTGACCATACCCCTAACACTTCTTTTATTACTGTCCTTAGTAATCTGCCTTAAATCCTTCTTTCTGAGTTACTTCTGTTTCCTCCATTTATTTGATTAAATTTCAAACTCCCTTTCTCAGTGTTTGAGAATGGCCTCTTCTTAAAGCCAACTTTTATGAACTTCATGCCTTCAACATAGCCAACCCCTGATCATTTGGGCTAATGGAATATATAAAAATATGAGATTATCCACAACACAAGAAAATTTTTTAAAAATTGACATCTGGCTTTGGAATATATCATATGTAGCTTTGGGCAAGACTTACTTTCTTAATTACGTTTTTTGCTTAAGCCAACATTAGTCATATTTTCTTTTATGATGGTGGATAACTGTCTTGGTTTTAAATTTTGATGCAATTTTTAAAAAGCCAATCAAGCATCAATTGTGGTTTTTCTCCTACGGAGCCCATTAACCAGTTTTTTCAATCTGTTGAAGTCTATCATAAAATCCGGTTTCTGTTTCCCCTGATTTATTTCCTCCCTTTTCTTGGAATTCTGATCCAAATCAACTTAGTCTATATTAATTTGCTTCTTCCATTTAAAGTAGCATTAGCTTGAGAATGCAAAACATTTTAAAGACAAACGTTCAGTGAAATTTTCAATCCAAATAACACAGGATAGAAAATTCCACTTTTTTTTTTTTAGACAATCTGGGAAAATTTAGGTTTATGGGATAAATTACATGGTAATTCTAGCAAATTATATTTAGAATATTGTGATTGGTTGAATATAGGAAAACATTAATACTGAACAACTATGTAAGTCAATTTCATCAATATATAATCCCATATACCAAAACCTCTATAGAATCAAATTCCCGATCCAAGCATTTATAGAAAATGGCATTAACCCTGGCCCTTCTGACCCCAACCTAAACTCTGCACCTATCTCAGACCTGATCTCAGCCTTACTTCTACAAATAAGTTTTAAAATGTGTAAGAAAAGGGAAAAGAACTGGGTTAACAGGGTTTCCCTTCTGCCCCTTTACAGTTACTGCCATTGGGTTTCTGGCCACAGAGACCCCTAATCCTCAATATTTCATGACTGTCCAACTTTATAGCTGTCCAATTATTTTACATGTAAATGTTGGTTACAGTGCTTGAACTGCCTTTCCTTCATACACTATTCACCGTATTACCAGTAAAATTAATAAACCATTTTTAATCCCCCCCCCACGTGGAACTTCGATAAATATACATTATTTTACCCCAAAACCTACTCTTTGGGCTGGTGTTGCTTAGCCCAAGTTTTTACTAAGATGTTCAGTGTTAACCACCGCACCCCCCCCCAATTTTTTTTAACAGCCACCTTTCACAACAGTCTTCAAACTCAGTGAATTTTACAACCTTGTTTTAAAAAACAAAAACAAAAAAAATGTACACGGTGCCTCGTCACAATCTGATGAAAATACCTACCCCAAGCCACAAATCCCTAACTTTTCAATTTACTTCTCCAGCTTGCCGCCTTCACCAAATAGAGACCTCAGCAAGTCTCAGTTAACTAGGGCCTCCCAAGCTGTGTGTCCACCAATAATCGGGATTCTCAAGGAAAGGAAAATAATTAAAGTTAAACCGGTAAGAATTCTTTTCTTCCTTTAAAAATCCGCCTTGACTTTAAAAAGCGCTCTTCTTCATGGGATTTGAAATCGTATCCATCCTCTGAGGAAACAGTTCTCACTAAGTGCACTCTCCATCAGCCCCACAAAATGAGTGGCATAAAGAGGCATTTTTCTGACAGCCTAAGTTCCCCCAAGAGCAGTTAGAAGGGCTCTCCTGGATGGTAAGTTTCCAACACACGGACGGACACACACCGGAAAGAGGGAAAAGAAACATACCTGGTCATTTTCTAAACAGGTTTGATAGGTTTGGTTCACGTGTAACAGCAGGGTATTTACCTATAATCTTTTAAAGCAGAAGTGGCAGCCAGAGCACTGGGTAAATAAAAACTTGAGAGAGTTTTAAAAACCCTGCATCTTAACTCCCTTCCCCTTGGTCCAAGGGGACGGCACACCAAACCCCACGGCAAATGAGATTATGCAACAGGTTTTTCCTCCCCGCTTTATTCAGCACAGGCTGGTGAGAGGTGTGCTTTCTGCAAACACTTTGAAAACACCCAGGGCTTTGGGATCTTGGCGGCTGGCGTTTAATCAACCCCTTTAGGATTCCGCCGGATCCATTCATTTTCAGACCTACTCGTATTTTCTCAATTACCGGGTTTCCGTGTGTTTGTTTGTTCCAGGAAATTAACCCATTATCTGGAACCTTCGGTTTTGCATAGATGGTTTCCTCCCTGGCGTTTTACTACCTGACGCCACACACGATACACAGACCCTCGGCTGTCCCCTTGGGCTTTTTTATTTCTCGCGTTTTACGGCCAGTGTAAATAAAGGAGTCACGGGCGCGCCCCCAACCCCGTGCCTGGGGCCCCGGCATGAAAGCGGAGTTTTTGGTTGGTCGCTTGGGCTTAAGTTCGCAGCACCGTCACCACCCAGGTGGCCTCGCTGCCGACACCGAAGGCGGACTGGGGATAATGGGAACGGTCAGGCCGGGGCCCCACTTGGCAGGCGTGTTGTGTAACAGTCGCGCCTGGAAGGGAGCAGCTCCGTCCGCGAAGGCAGCGCGCGTCCCGCGGCGGCGGCTCCTCGCGGCGGCATCCGGCGGCCCGGCCCGCTCGGCGCGGCGCGGCCGGGGGCACACGGACCGAGACCCCGCGCCCGCCCCCTGCGAGGCCTACACCCCCCCCCAACCCCCCACCCCCGCTCAGACGCTCGTGCGGCTCCGAGCCGCGGTCGCCCCCACCCCGCCTCCCAGAAAGGTGGCCCGGACGCCCGGGGAGGCAGAGCCCGCGGGGCGTCCGTGCTGCCGGCGCGGGCGGGCGCCCCCAGAGCCCCGCAGCCGCCCGCCCGCACGGTCCGCGCCGCCGGCCCGAGGCCACTTACTTCTGGGGCCGCCGACCTCCCGACTCCCTCCGGGGGAAAAGAACGTTGTCGCGGCGTCTCCCCTCGGGCCCCCTCGGCGCCGCCGCGGAGCCGGGCGGGCGGCTGCGCTCCCGCTCGCGTCCGTCCCGTCGCGCTCTCCTCCTCCTCTTCTTTTCAGTATATTATCTTCTCCCTCGCAGAGGGGCGGGTGGGGGCGGGAAGCTTCGAGAGAAGACGTTTGCGACTTTTCTTCACTCTTTCTCTTCCACCCCCCCCCCCCGTCAGCCTTGAGAAAACAATGTTGAAAGGGGTGAAGAACTTGGGGAGGTGAAGGTGGGGGGCCGCGTGGGGAAAGCGGAGGGGGGCAGGGAGAAGTGATAATAAGCGTTTAAAACCTGATTAAAGCCCCCCAAACAGTGATACACAGACGGAGGGGGAAAGGCGGGGGGGGGGCGGGGGTGGGGGGTTGGGGGGAAAAGAGAAAGAGTCGCTGGTCAGGAAACTTCAAGCGCGGATGAGGTCATTGGTTTAAAAATAAAGAGATGGCGTCACTTGAAACCAATCCCAGTGAATGAACTCAGCGGAGCCCCGGGGAAAGGAGGAGACAGGCGAGGGCAGGGCGGTGGGCGCCGGGCGGGGCCGCGCGCCCGCCCGCCCATCCCGCGGCCGCCGGGTCCGCCGCGCGACTCCGCGCCTCGCTGCGGCCGCGCGGGGAGGGGTCGGGTCACGTTCCGTTCCGGACTCGGCGACTCGCAGGCAGGTTCCGCAGGCGCCGCTGGGAGGAGCCGGGGCTGCCCGAGGAGGCGGCCCCGCGGCCTCCTCCTTCCGCGCCCGCCGGCCCGACCCCGGCCGGGGGGCTGCGCCCCAACAGGTATTTAAGGCTGTCCCCCCCCCCACCCCCCCGCCTACCCTCCCGAGACCCAGAGCCGCCTCCCCCTGGTTGCGACGCTTCCAGCGGCCTCAACCGGCGCGAAGGAACGCGAACAATGATTTGAGAGAATTGCAATCACTCCTCGAAGTCTGATGAATCCCAAGTGCAGGGCACCGCCGGCTCTTGTGAAAGAGGGGTTACAGGTACCTTCGGAACGACCGCCGTCGTGCTGGAATGCGTTCAGCCATCGACACGTGCTTGGCGTTGAGAGACCCCACAGGACTGTTCCTTACATTCGTTATTTCGCGTTGTTTATGTCTACTTACTTACGTTTACCGATTTAATGAGTATGAGCAGCACAAAGTTCTCTTCTCCAATGTTTTCTACATCGGGCAGCACACAATCATGTTATAAATCAGACCGGAGGTTCGCCGTCTCTCGAGAGGTCCAAGCCCCTGTTGATTTAACTCTGCACATTTCGTGCATTTTTTTTTTTTTTAAATTGGATTAATCAGAGTAGCCCTGCTTTGAGATTACATTACGCTCTTTGGAAAGCTAAAGACCTGAGGTGGTGACAAACCAGGACTTGGAATCCGTGAATAGGACAATCGGAGCTTTATTCTAGTGTTCTTTGAGCATTTGAGCATGAAGCTGCTTCTACTGAGAAGGACTCACGTGGATATCACTTAACAAAGATGTGATTAACGACGGAAAAGCACACTGCGAGTGGACTGCTCCAGGAGCCAGAATTTATGTGCAGGAATAATCTCGCTCCTAAAATATTCCATTTCCAGTGTGCGGGGTTTGGGACATGGGTCCCTAAAGGCATCTTTGTTGTGGGATGTCCATGTGAACACTGCCTGAGGGACTTTTTTTTTTTTTTAAACTGGTCAAAAATCTGAGAGGCAGGTTTGGGGTGGGTTAGAGAGATCTCGGGAGTGCTTTTCTCTGTTTAAATCCTGCAACTAAAGTGCATTTGTTACTACTGATAATCATTTAAGGTTAGTATTGGGATAAGCCTCTGGGAACGTCCAGCTCATTTTTCAGAAGAAGAAAAGGAGCCTATCTGGAGATGGGAGACCAATGAGCACTTGGGGCAGTAAATTAAGCCTGAAGGCCACAGATGCAGAGCCCCCGTTCTTCTGCCTCTGCCTTTGACCTCCAAGATTTTTGCTGGGAGGAAGCGGTGCCTCCCGCGGCTCCCGGTCCTCTGGTGGCCAGGAGGTGTTACTGCAGCCTTAACGGGATTGCCTGTGTTCTTCGAGTTAACTTCCAACGATCTGCTAATCACAGACCTGCTCTTTTTAGAACAGCTTAGAGGGAGTAGTTTAAAAGGATGTACATCTCAAATCTGCCTAGTTGGAGGAGTTGGAATTTGGAGAGAAGGAAGGAAAAGAGAGAATCCTTGTCCTACAATCTTACCTAGATGACTCAGCGAGAACATATGGAATACCCTTTACATCCTGATGCTCCAGCTTTACTGTAACTGGTGCATCTCGAAACTTCTTCCCCCTTTTTTATGTGTGTTCCGTGTATGTGGCACCATGATAGCTCTTATGGGAGCCTCCCCAGTACATACAATCTAATCAGGGAAACCAGACATAGGTTAAAACTAATTAAAAACTAAATTAGTGATTGAGGGGCACATAACATTAGTTAAAAGAGTCTAATGGAGGGACACCTGGGTGGCTAAGTCAGTTGAACATCGGTCTCTTGGTTTCCGCTCACATCATCATCCTAGGGTCATGAGATCAAGTCCTGTGTCTCATACTCACAATGGAACCTGTTTAGGATTCTTTCCCTCAGCCCCTCTCCCTCACTCATGCTCAATCTCTCTCTCTCTCTCTCTCTAAAATAAAAGAAATTTTTTTTTTAAGTTCAGCAGAAAAAGTGGAGCAATGTAGCTTGGGGGTGTCCGGGAAGGCAGCTTCTGAAGACCTTTGACCTCATCCTTGACGGATAGTTAAGATTTAGTTTAGGTTAAAAGGGCTCAGTGGAAGGACTATTCTAGAGGGGAAACGGCATGAACAGAGGCCCGGAGGTGGAATGATGAAGGTGTATTCAGGTGAGGGATGAGTAGACCCTTTAATAGTAGTAGAGATTGGTGTGTAGCAACTGGGCTAAGTTAAAAAGATTTACAGGCACGTTAATGAAGTACTTCAATGTTAGGAAAAACAGCCCGTTATTAGTCCAGCAGGCTAACGTTGAACAAGTTTACTTTGTGAAAGAACACATTTCTCCTCGTTCTACTAAAAGAGCTTCTGTTTTGCTAACAACAAACATGTGAAAGCAAATTAAAAACTACCTCTTATAATTGTTCCAAAGAATATGAAATATTTAGGTATAAATCTAACAAACCATGTATGGGATCTCTATGCTGGAAAATATAAAATGATGACATTAGAGAAGCCCTAATTAATTGGAGCAACTCATGATATCCCTGAACCAATATAATAAATATGTCAGTTCTTCCCAGATAGATACACAGATGTAACACAATACCTATCAAAATCCCAGCAAGGTTTTTTATAGGCAGAGACACTCTGAACTAAAAATGTACTGCTTCCAGCACAGTTAAAGGGATGAGTGAGTGCTAATGTCCCCAAAGGCAGATAAAGAGCTCCTATACATTTCAATACGTGTAAGTGTGCAGTTGAATCTTGGTTTTAGTTAGAGTTAAATATGGGGGGAGAGTGCCATAATCTTTAGTGCTTAGACCCTCTTAAATTTTTAATCCACCCCTCGCTGAGGCTTAATCATTCTTCAGCTATTGGAAATTGAGTGCCTGCTACCAGTATGTACCAGGCACTGTGCCTTTTTCTGAGGGTTCAGTCATAAATAAGAGAAACAAGGCCCCTTCCCTCACGGAACTAACGCTCTGGTGGCGAGAGAAGACAAGAAGCAAATAAGAACAACGGCCAGGACAGTGATCGGACTGACTAGGGGGGAGAAAACTGGGTGATAGGATAGCAAATGATTGAGAGTGGGTGGGAGCAACAGTGATTAAGGAAGGCATGCATGAGGAGAGGACATTTGAACTCATCCTTGAAGGATGTTAACCAGGGAAGTGGTCCTGGCGGAGAAAAGAGGCCATTCTGAAACTTCAGTAGAAGCACAGTGGCCTGTAGACAGTTGGTGTGTTTCCAGAGCAAAAGAAAGGCCAGCGGGGCTCAAAAGTATAAAATGAGGGCAGGGAAAAGCCAGACTGTGTAGGACCTTATAATGCATGGGAAGGGGTTCAAATTCTATCCTAAAAATTTTAAGCAGGTTAGTACATGATCTGATTTATGAAGAGGGCATTTATAAGTAAGCATAATCATTTAGTTTTGAAAGGAGAGTTTGAATAATCTGTAAATACTTAATTTGGCAGCCCCCTCTCCAATAGGAAGGAAGCATTTTTGATAATTTAGTTCATCTCCAGGGATCCCTTTAATGCCCCCAAATAAATGTTACTCTAGTATTCAGGTATTGCAGGGAATATATGGATAGGCTTCCAAGGGTCTAGGAGGCCCCTAAAATTTTGTGCATATATCCTTATGGGGGGTTTTCTGTGAGTTCCTAGCTTTCAACAGATTTTTAAAGACTATCAATGCGCATGCAAACACACACATACATACTGCAAAAACAAATAAGACCTACTTTACGTTTAAGTCTCGGCTATGACTTTGGATGGTGGTAGCTACTATCGTCCTAGGGCTCGTGGCACTATACAAATGAATCATAGTTCTGTAAAGCAGCAAGTTTTACCTCAAAGAGATGTCCCTGTATTAGAGGGGAGCAGTATTTATGGCAGGGTAGGAGACAGAGTATTTGCAGCATTTTTATCAAAAATGCTTCCTTACTATTTGGAAAGGGAGCTTCCAGATTAAATAAATATTTCTAGATTATTCAAACTCTCTCTTCAAAACTAAACTATTAGGCTTAGCTATAAGTACCCTCTTTATACATCAGATCATATACTAACCTCTTAAATTTTTTAGGATAGAAGTTGAACGCCTTACCATGGATTAGAAGGTCCTATACAGTTCCAAGAGTTTGCCTCTGAAGAAACCACATGAAAGAAACATTTCCCTATGTAATATGAGAAGTAGAAGTTACCTAAGACATTATCTGGTACATCCCACTCACTTTACAGACAAGAAAGCAAAGGTCCAGAGAGGTTAAGTGGCTTGCCCAAAGATGCACAGCTAGTCAGAGACTGAGCCGGGATTAGAAACAGGTTTCCCAACTCAGTACAGAACTCTGTGCTCCTCATCTAAAGAAACAAAGAAATTGCACCAAATATAGCACCGGGAACTCAATTTCATTCAATGAAATTAAGTAAACACATACTCTTATGTATTTGGAAGGAAATGGAAGGAAAGAAGGAGGTAACAAGGTTCAAAAGCATAACATCCCAGCTCTGGAAGAGATGAAAAAATCCTCAGTGTCAAATTAAGACTTAACAGCTAAGAAAATGTAAATGGCAATAACACTGTTAATAGTGTATATCTGATCCTTCAGATCTCTATTAGATCAAAATAGACCTAATAAGCTATAAAAACTAGATGGCTTTTCACTTATCAA